AGCCCACGAGTACAATGACCAGACCAATGTTAAAGTGACCGCCGAACGTCAGGTAGTCACATGCACAAAGTATTATAACAACGGATCCTATACAATGTCGGCCGAAATTTGCAAGTGAAGAGCAGCCCATCGCCCGCTTAACCGGTGAATTATCAATGTCGGCATGCGGTTTCTATCCCAGCGTTTTAAAGTGGGCCATCTAGTTCAGAAAAAGCCTCCACCTGGTGTTAATATTCTTGCCTAGTTAAACCTTGACAGAGTTGTAATATTCAACCTCCCTGATCCTCACTTCCTAATTTACTTTGTGGTACGCGCATATGCCCACATAAACGTCATTCGCGCCGATGTGGTACCTAGTTGTCACGGCCCAAACCAACCATTGTGACCTGTGATGTAAGGATAAGTCTCAGACACCTCAATCCTGACCTCGTGCGCTAAACAGACAAATAAGTTAGTACTAAAGCAAAAGGTTGAATTCATTGAGCAAAAAGTAAGTTACTTGCGCAAACCAAATCACCCATGCCAAATCAGGCAGAAGGTATCTGCCCAAATGATAACACTTGAAAAGATACAGACACTGGAAAAACATTTAGTAGAAGCGCTAACAGGGGTAGGGGGAAGGGAAGGCGGTGAAGGACAGGTGATGTGATGGGCGGGATCCGATCTTGGCTTTTTGATTCTTGGTCTCGGGGAATTGCTACGAACACGTAGGTTTACCTGAGATAAGTAACTAATGCATTCCTCAGATGCTTTAACAAGATCAACCGTACCTATCAGTACTTACGATGTTCTGACTAGAGCTCCTTGCCATCGCTATGGTACTGTGGATTTGGCTTCCGCAGACAAAAACGTCCGAATGGAAACGTTGCTAACAAGACTTCACGACCCTGTCAGGTTAACCTTTCTAACAATAAAGTAAATAGCAGAGTTACTCAAAGTAGGGAATAATCGGAGGTAGTCGCGCATAGTTGTCGCCATTATGACCTCAAAAGGCATCGCATTGCCTTCGAGCGTACAGTTAGCGCAATTTTCATCCCTATGCCTTGACTAACCGTCTGCGTGCAGCAGTAGAGGGTAATCTCAACTTTGACCATTCGGTTCTTTTTCCCTGACCAACTATGAAGGACTCCTAAAATGCAGTATTCTACTAAACATTCTTCGTTCGCACCTTTTATACAACTCCCTTTTACTCAAATGCATAGGCTGCGACCTAGCCAAAAAGAAACACGTGTTGCTTTGACATGTGAGCCATGCTAAATTACTTACAAAAGCAACGCGAGAGCGAGCTTTCAGCCGTTTGGAAAACTGGTTCCAGGAAGCAGAACTAACATGGGCATGCATCACTCAGTCGAATCGAAGGTAAACTTAATGATGACATTAAATTGTCTCGTGATAGCGTTAATAAGGTGATCATTCTAAAAAAGAAGCATCTACAGAAGTGATTCCAAATTACAGTTTCTTCCCTCATTTTCCAAACTGAATAAGCATCCATGTGTTCAGCCTTTTTTGTGAACTTTCTATCTTTTTCTGTAACTTGCATCTACTCTCAGGTGGAGTAATAGGAAATACAAACAAAACCTTGTTAGCTTTCAAAGGAATACGAGTCGAAAAGTGAAAACCATACTTAACAGACTTCCGAGGGCTTTATTCTGAGACATACAAGCTATTACGTTCATTTTGACCACCATTGGGACGCAGCACCTCCTCACGATTGGGACTTTGTGCGGAGGACAAATCGGTAGCAGATACGGACAATTCCTCCTGCAGAGCCGCCATAAGTCTTGGTTCCGAATTTGGAAGTGGAGCGAGCCTATTTTTCTAGTAAATAAATTCTTATGAACAAGTGGAAGGATGAATCAAGAAATCGAAACGCGAAGTCGCAACTATTAAGTAGATTGAGAAATAAGTGAGAGATTAGGTAGTACATAGCAGCGGTCAATTCGACGGTAGCATTACGGACGAGAACTGGCAATTGAGCCGACTGCACATACCTCTAACTCATCCCGTACCTTCCGCATCCTGGCTGTAGTAGCAGCAGTGTTGGCGATTAGGTAGACGGGAAGATCAGTGGGAGTAGCCGCAGCATAAATGGCAGCTCTTTTTGGCTGATGTAAGATCGCATGGTCATGATTCCGCTCGACATCTGTTACTTCCATTCCGGTTAATCTTGTGCTGCCTGAATTTGCAGCAAGTAAACTAGGATTGCTCACTCTCAGTCCTCTTGATACTGCTGCATGGGATTCTAGTGGATTTGATTTCGTGATATTCATTTCAAAAGCAGTAGGTTCCGGAACAATTTCACTTTGATCAGTCTCTTCAGAAGCAGACATCTTTGCACTGAAGGACTGTATCCCAGGTATCTCCAAATCGGTCGAATTTATACCAAATTCACCTTCTAATTTGGTAGTGATGAAGTCGATAGGAACATTTTCAGCAACATTCATTGCTCTAACTGCAGCCGCACCAAGCACTTCCTTATCAAACGTTTTGATTCCCGCCATTTTCACATTAGTTGACCCTGAAGACTTCAGTTCCACACTACTTGTCTCAACGGAAAGCAAATCCACAAAACCTGCTGTTGCACCGGCTGATGGTGCGGAAACGAGGAACTCCCTCGTGGCTGCCTTCACACTCCCTTTCTTAGCACCTACTAATTCAATAGTAGGCGAAGTTATTACATCAAGTGAAGCCACAGTAAATGCCTTCGAAACGGGCGATTTTGAACCGACGATTTCCACATCAGTAAGGACTGCTTCACTTTTCGCTGTACCCACAGATTCTGCACCAGTTTCGATTACGTCGACTGCTTCTACTCTTATCGATGCTACAGTGTCTGTGACCTCATCACTGGTTCCCACATCCTCCGGTTCTGCACAAGTCAACTTCTCTCCAACCTGTCTTGCATCGGCTGGTTTCCAAAAAATAGGCGCTATTTCACTTCCTTTACTCTCAATCGAATCTTCGGAACCTGCATTTACACTAACTGGCTTAAAAGCAAATTCTTCTGTGTTAGCAGCCTTGTCATCCACTTTCCCATCAACCAAATCTGGAACAAGCGCTTTTGCACTGTTTGATCCTCCAGCATCTGCCTCTACTGCAACAGGATTCATCATATCTATCTTCATATTATCTGACATCAGGTTGGATGCCTTTGCATTGACCGATTTTGAACAAACTAATATCGTAGGAGATGCAGCATCGGAAACAGATTTTCCTCCCTCTACATTCCCAACAGGAAGTGTTGCTAAAGTTGACGTTGTGGTGGCTTCATTCCCCTCCTTTTGATCAGATCTCGCCAAATCCTAAAACATTTCAACAAGGTTTAACACTGTACAATAAGTCCCCTTAAACATCATATCGAAATTAGGATTCTTAGAATTAAACTTCTCAGACAGTGATAGAGATAAACCTATTCTGCAAAATATTAACTCATCTGGTAAAAAATAGATGCCAATAAATGTAATAGAATCTCGTGCATGAAAAACCGAATACCTTGAGAGTGCTACTCGTCGAAAGTGATTCAAGTTTAATGGAGATGAGTGGTCTCCCTAGGGCCAGAGGGGAATAAGAGGAACGACGAGTCTGTTGAACAAGGCCTCTTGAGGACGAGGGAACAGTGAGGAAGTCGGTATGAACGGTGAGCGCTTCCTCTTTGTAGAAAGCCTCCCCTCCATCCCGCTTCTGCTCCACAGGGGACTGCACACAGGCTTCGTTCTCCAGGAAGGAGTGGAGTGACACAGAGGGAGATGTGCCTATGTCGATGGAGTCACAGGCTGAACAGGACGTTTCGGTTGATTGGTTCCTTGACTCAGTCTCACATTTCTTTCTTGTCGACTCGGACAACTAAAATGGAATCACTCACGTCATATGGGTCTTAAGAATTAAATTGTAGATTCATTACATAACTTACGACGTTGGCATTGCATGATGGTGCAACACAGTTCCCAGCAATATTGCAACATGCTAACAATGAGTAGAGGGTCGGATTTTTGAGGGCATGAGCACTCATAGTGCTGTCAGTTCCGATCTCCTCCATATCATCGAATTGAGCGACGATTGGAAGCGATTTCGACGGATTAATCAACTTGGACCTGGTTAGGAGAGTTAAGTTCTTATTAATATCAGAGACTGGCGTTGGTGGAATGGACTCTGATTGTAAACGCATAAGCGTCGATATAGGGCTTGTGTCAACACTACATAAAACGCGTTCCGACTCGCGCTTGGTTGAACTGGTGTCCACGTCAAGAGAGAGTGACTTAGAAGGGGGATGTTGTATCATCCCAACCTTGAAAGGTGCTTTCACCTGCAAACTCTGACTGTTCAACAGAGGGCTTGTGGACGGCTCTTTCGCGTCATTCATGAAAGCACTCGACTGTTGGAGGAATGAAGAGGTGTTATTAGTAGTTGGGATAAGAGAGGGATCACTACAGAGGGAGGGGAAGACCTCATCTGCCACAAATTCACTGCGAAGACTAGTAAGCCGTTCACCTTTCTCAAGATTTAACGTTCCAACTGAGGCGTCACAAAACGGTCGCAAATGTGATTCCTTAAATCCGCTTTTAAAGCCATTGGAAAGACCTCTTCGGAGAGCACGCAAAGTTGTACTCGCACTCCCAGCTGGTGTTGTAGACTGATTTATTGGCACACATGAAGCATGCTTCTGTGAGGCTTCTGATTCCGAAACGAGAGGTGCCTCAGCCGGGAGGCAAGACGACTGAGATGACAAATAGCTAAATTGATTTGAAGGACGACTGGAAGAATTTGGAGTACTGTCAGTTTGCACTGAAGCATTAAAGGCTACCTGGGAATTCACCTTATCCTCCAATTGAGTGGGAATAGATTGAAGACTATATTTTGCTTTCTGGAACCAGATACAATTTTGCACCGAAGTTGGTGGAGAAGTGGGGTACGTGGGTATTGTTTTGGAAAGCAATTTCGAACTGGTGAGTCTACAGGTAGTGTTTAAGGCAGATGAAAAGCAGGAAAGATTGGACGAATTCGTTGAATGTGCTTGAAACTCAGGGTCACTGCAGGGTTGAAAAAGTGCGCTTGGAATTAATCTGTTTTTGGCCACCTTGAAAGCGGAATCAAAAAGTATTGGTTACTAGGTGCTGAGCTAAATCATAGGAATGCTTCATATGATCCCGGATTAACGAAGATATGAATAAAAATTAAGCTTGTTTTAAAGCTACTCATTTTAGAGAAGTATAATCCAAATCCTCACAGTTTTGTTGGATAATTGGTCGAAGTCAGCATCCAAATTCGTTTTGATAGCAGCAGTTTTCCTCTCTTGACACTCCATTGAACTGTCAAAAATATTGCACTTATTTGTGATATCTGGAACTTGGGAAGGAATGGCTTCAAACTGACTCAGATGACATTTGACAGACGAATTTTGATGGGTTGTCTCAAGTGCAACTGAAGTCGACTCGGTGATGGCAAACTTCCTCCTCATTGAAGCTGATGATTTAATAGATCGTTCTGTATCACCGCTAGTTTGAGTTTTACAGGAGAGTACACTGAGTTGATTCACTGGTCGACCAGAGGAGCTACCGCACGACAGTTCCAAATTGGAAGTCGAGGAGGAGGAGAAACGTAATGGGAAAGTAGGTAAATAATCGACTTTTGGATTACTTTCGTTTAAGTGACTGACAAAGCGTTCTTGTGAATGAAGATCAGAGGCAAAACATGAGCAGGACGGAAGGCCAGAAGTATCCCACTTCGAATGATCTGGAGGGTTGGAACCTAAGCTCTTGTTGGAGGATGATGCATACTGAGGGCTTGGATTGTCTTCAGACTTACCAGAACAAACGGGTGATAATGACTCAGTAAACTCGGGAACAAGAGTGTTAATTGGGCAAATTTTTGAAGTAGATATTGGTGACAAATGGGTTCCACTGCAATTCAATGGCAAAGCCTCAGACGTTTTGCCAGTTCCCAGCAATCGCTAGAACCAAGATTTAAAAAGTTGAAGCAAAATAAGTATGTAATCATTTTGTCCTTACTATATGCAACAAACCTTTAGATAACTCCGAAGAAGTTCCCTCTTCCTTGCTGTAAAATTCCCAATGGTCTCAGTAAACAAGTTCACACCATCATTTTCTGCTTCCTTAGGGTCTAGTATAGTAGAAACTAAGCTACGATGAGGACACCCAAAAGATGATTTGCAATTGGAAAACATGGCATTCGGCTACGAAATTGCAAACCTTAGGTTAATGCCAGAAAAGATAATGGTGAAGAATAATACCAAATTAAACACCAATGCTGGGATGATACTCAAAAATGGGATATCATTAGTTTCACCGAAAAAAAGGGATTACAGCGTCCTAATTAAGCATAGATTAAAACAATGCCAAAGAATAATGAAATCATATGAAGAGAATACAATATCACCGCAAATGTACAACCTAATAGCTGTGTGCTAGTGAAGCTGATTTTGGACGGGATAGTGGTTTGATCGACATTAGTAACGGACGTGGCGATGGAGGATGGCATGGTGTAGCTGCTTGGCAGCGATGGCAATGGTGAACTTGGTGGGGAAGGCCTTCTTAGACTTGAGAGTAAAACGGAGGCGGGACTTATCATAGGCTGCGCCCAGGATTGGCAGGAGGTCAACGGAAGAGTGTCTAATATAGGTGAGGCGTCATCATCCAAGTCATGTGAAGACTAAAAATGGATGACCGCAGAGAGTTGAGGCCTATTTAACTAGAAAGTAAAGACGCGCTACAAATGACATACCCCTAGAGAGTTGAGGACTAGGGTTTTAGCTGGTACCGAGGGAATTTCGAGGTTCGCACCATTCTCTTGAGCCAAACCCATGAGGCGATGGGATGGCAGTTCAAGCGTTCCACAGGCAGGGATATGGTTCCCTGCATCACCAGCACGAATGCACTCCATTTGCCGCAATATCAGCTCCCTTGCACGCCGTTGCAGTGACTCCACTACGGGAAGAGATCTAGCCCCAGTGCTTGGCTTTGCTGACGCAGACGTGCATGCTCCCGCCGTGGAACCAGAGATAGGAGAGGAAGACAAACTGGTCGTTGGCGACGCAGCACCCGGAGACTGCCTTTCATCGCCCTTTTCGGCTGATAGCGCAGCCGAAAGTGATGGCTTTATTAAAGTACCCAAAAACAATTTTAATTGCAACTGGCGCATTAAAAAGCACAAAACGCTGGATAAGCTCGAACCGCAATAACAAAACACAAAGGAACAATTGCTGAGATGCTAAGCGCAACATTCCCATCCGGAACTATTTTAACGAACCAATTTATAGTTGTCATAGGTCAAAGATACTCTCGACTTTCTTACATAAAAACAACTCAGCTCCTGCATAAACTCTATTGCAACGTCTAACTTGTTGGAAAAACTGCACCTACAGTCTACACTTCGTTATCTAACCATGTTGCTAGAACTCAAAAAACCATTTCTGTCGCCATGGTTCCTAGCAATGTTTTGTTTTCCAACTGCCTATTCTATTTCACGAGCCATGACATATTGCCAAAAGATAACCGTCATTAATATGAGGAGTGCTACTCCAAAAAATAAGTAGAATAAGGATAAGGCCTTATTTTCTGCACTCTCTAAAGTGCTTCTTGCGGTTTTCGAAAGCAAACGCTTTATAGCTGAATGTACACTATAGTTCTTTGAAGGTCTCGACTTTAAGCCAGACTCAATTTTCGCCCCTTCTTTCCATAAGTCAGTCTTTTTGTCGGTCATCAGCCACATTGTTCTTACCGCGTTCATAGCAATACCGTTGTTGATGAAATCTGAATGACAACTCTCAGCATTGTGCAGTGTTCCATCTTCCCTCGCCCCCTTCACCATCGCCTCAGATCGTTCAAGCTGAGATGAATAGTTATTTTTCCTTAGGTAAGGAGAACTACTTGTAGTAAGTAGTACCAAAGTGCCTATGATGATCCAGACTAGTAAATGATAAATAAATAATCATTAGCAAGTAAACTTTGGATAATAATGTTATGAATATACGAAAAAAACAATTGAACAGACTTGCATCCAAATCAGATAGAAACACTGTAAACTATAGGAAACGGAGAATACACGACCAAGCATGCGGACTGAAAATAAGGCATTGATACATAATTGAAAATAATCAACGGTCTTACAGCTATTTATGCACTCCTAGCGCCTAAAAGTAGCGAGTTACCTTTAGCCTTGAGAACTGAACGTCGTGTATCTCCCCAATTCGTCAACATCAAATTTCTTGAATACAAATCAATAAAAATAAAAAAGGACTTGACTAAATGATCTTATAGCAATTCACAGTAAGTAAATGACAAGATGACGCTACTCTTCACGCTATATTATGATAGTGGACCGGTGATCGACGCATACCGATAGTAAAACATCAGTTATTTTATCGCCGAAATTCAAAGTCAAGGTGAACGTTTTACGCATGAATTACCACTTCCACGACCTTTGAAGGAGACCCCGAATGGTTTGTTGCCAAGTTGGGAGAAGTGGATAGCGCGCAGATTCGAATCGAATTCACTTCATTGTCCTGCGTTGACTGCGAAGAAAGGATACTGCTACTAAATGACTTGCGCAACTCTGTTATCGCCTTGTCAATGTTTTCGACTTCCGAGCTATAAACAAATAACCGTTCCATTAGATTAGAATTAAGGTAATTATTCAACACAGAGGACTCGTACTCCAGTTGCATTTTTATGCAGTCAAAAGACACCATTTCACTTAGCACGGTGGAAGAGGGTCGACCATTATCCATTTCAGATATGCCACACGATTCCGAGACTGAAATTTTTGTTCCGTGGGGACGAATTACGAGTATTTTCGATGCATCCAGTGCATCAGTTCCTGTCGAGGGCAACTCTATCGACTCAGAAGTGTGAAATTTGAGAAGGTTAGTTGGGATAGCGAAGGGAAGAACTGGAGGTTTTTTGTGGAAGGTCAGTGTTCGCAAATCACAAGAGGTGGGGCCTGTGGAAGGGTGAGGCTGTGCGATAAAGTCCTGACAGGGAGACAGCGCCGAGGATGGCAAATTGGTTTGCTCACCAGGGTCTTGCCCTCGCAGGACTAGGTGCGGATCCATAAGAGTGGTACAGTATGGATGAAACTGCACATAATCCTGAAATACATCCAAGAGATCCGTAGAAAAAATGTTCATAATGTAAGGGTTTTGTAGGGCAGCGCTGTGGAGTCAATGTAGTATAAAATTTTTCATGATATTTTACAAACCAAACATCTGAGATAACAAAAAACAAAACCCCATACGGTCAAGTTGTAACGGAACCATTGACCGAACTAAAATGCATCAAGTGATGACCATATGGTAAAACAAACATACCAAAGGCTTCGGATCAGGTGTGACGAGTGTTGGTCGCCCCAAGGATGATGACAAATCTTCAATATGAGTGCCATGACCGACCTCTGCTTCGCTCAAGGAAATATGTTTCTGTTTTTGCATCAACAACTCATCCTCCTGCTTTGAATGTGTTCTAAGACGAAAAAAAGGTCTCATAATGAAAAAAAACCTCACTTGGAATATCTGACAACATCTATCACTACAGATAAAGAAGATCAATGAACGATAATTTAATCTTTCAAAATAAACTTAAACTACAAGGTAATATGGGACCAAGTAACCCATTTTAATCTTTACGAAATCATAAGCATAGCTTTGTAAATTGCTAGCGCACCGTCCGGTAGCAAATTGCACGTGGATGCGTGAACTAAGCCCAGATTCAGAATCGAGGGGAATAGCGCGTTGGCAGGCAAAATCGGCGCACTCATTCTTGGCTACAGCAATAACTAATGCATCAGGGTTCACAGGGTCGTCTACACGGCTTGATGCTATACAGTGCACATTTAATTCGAACTGATTCTTCTCAAGCCTCAGTGGCCCACTCAGCACTCCGCCTCCCTTCACTTCTCCCGTCTCCTTCAATTCCTGATTTCCAGACTTCAGTGGCGGCTCATTTGTATCCATAAACAGGTGGCACGCCTTGTGAGTATCACCTAAACGAGGTATACGCAACTATAAAGATGTCCTCATCTAGGTGGGAGACGTTGTAAGAGCTTACTTAGGCAGCGAGAGCAGGGAACACCGCTTGGGTTAAGGTGAGCATCAAGAGGGTCGCGTGAGGGCGGTGGAAGGGCTGCAATGGTCGCCGCTCTCGCTCGTTCAGCCACTCGAACGGTCTCACGGAGGTGTCGCCGCATCTCTACATTTCGCAATGACCTCGCACGAGTAACCAGCAAGTCAGCGTATGCTTCAGCAAAGCGCTTCTTTGCAGTAACCCTCGTGATAGAAAGGCGCTTCCGCTCTTCGACCACTGGATCCTTCTAAACCCATTAAAGCGGTTACAAAAGAACGAAAACTTAAATTAGCCAAAAGGGAAATTTATCAATGACAGTAACACGACACATAATGCACACAATATAACCTCAACAAAGTCCACATTTGAAATAATATTATAGGAAAAAAACCTACAAGCTTTGCGAAATAGCTTCTATTCGATACCCAAAAAAACAGTTACCGGAAATCATCGATGACAAAAAGCAATTCAGAAACACTATTTTTGACATTAAATTCCTATAAACTTCTAAGCGCAATAAAAGTTAAGCATGATTTTAAATCTGTTGACAACAAGGTTGGAAAATAGAGAAAAGCACAGTACCAAAGGTGTCCAAACTAAATGCAAATAAAAATCAAGTCCACCTAAGCAACTTTAAAACCGATTTGCAGGTAAAACAGTAAAGTTTATCACTTGCCCAGGAATTAGCATTTCTGTGACCATGGCCAAAGTGTTCCATAATGCCATCGAGCATCCTTTGCCGAGTTTGAAGTAGAGCAAAGTCTTCTGCTATCTGCTGCTTTTGTAAAAGCAAGTTTTCATAACCTGTTTGTGCCCTTTTCGTTTCCCGATAAATGTTTCTAGCAATTGCAGAGTAGACCTTCGATAGTCGACGAACCTACCGGATAAATGCAAAATGGAGAGTCAAACCTGTGTCATTCTAATTTGGCGTCTCTTTAAAATCTCGTTAGCCTTGATGCGACTAACTTCACAAGGATTCGGGCGATAAAGGAAAGACGAATGCTCAATCATCAGCTGTTGATATTTTTAAATGAAGCTCCGCAACAGTATAATTGATATGTTATACCGTGAAACAAAATATAAAATAACTTAGATATGTAACTTTAGATTGATAAGAAATTACGTGCAAAAATCGAAATATGATTAATCAATATAAATATAAATAAGAATCAACTTGATATTCTCATAAAATTGCTTTTGAAAAAAACACGTAGTGCACAAAGAATTACTAAAAGCGCATGCAACATCAAAAAACGCATTGATTTTTAAACCTATCTTTAAAAGTCTAAGACCTCAAACGAGATAGAAGAGGCAGAAAATGGAGCTGGTTGTAGATATTCACGCGAGGGCAAAGGAATTAAGCCAGACATCAGGTGGTCACTTAGACAGCGTATCGCACTGCCCCTCCTCTTTTGAGCGACGTCCTCGACGCTCCTCCTTATAGACCTCCCACAGTAGGCATCGCAACATTCGGTGCTGCAAGAGAACACCCACTACCCAGCCGTG